TGACTCCGTCAACACAACAATAAAAACAATATTTCCACACGTGACAGTACTTGACGTAATTTTCAGTTGACAATATGAATACAATAACTTTTTCTAAATTCTTCCAGTTGCTAAGGACATTTTGTTTTGTTATTATTAATTACTTTGTTTTAATAAATTCATTTCGTTTTTGTCTTGAAAAAGTCTACATTGGACGAAACGCGTCGGCTAATATTACAGTTTTCCTATTGTCTTTTACATTTATAAATATTGTTTTTTCTACAGGTTAACTCTAAGAAATTTTCCATATATATATATATATATATATATATATTCTCAAGAAGACAGACAGTGAACGGAAAATCTTGAACTTTGTTTTAGGGCAATTTTTCACTCTTCACACGTCTCTCAAAATTAGTTATACTATTGAACTATCTTCGCTGATAATCGAACCAAGATAATGAATTGTCTCACCTCTTTTAGTTCCTGAGCACGGTTTTTTGTCAGGGTTGGAAACCCTTTCTCATTGTCTTTAGTTTTTTGGCTTTTTTTTATCATTAATACCCATACCATATATTTCTTTCTTTCTTTCTTTCTTTCTTTCTTTCTAAACAATGCCCAATATCCAAAAAAATCAACGTACCATTCCCGAAGAGAATTCCCTTCAAAGAATCCAATGCCTTCAAAAACATTGAAGGTACTGGGTTATCTTTTCTTTGTTTTCAATTTTCTATTTTTTATTTATCCAAATATTTAGATCAGCCTCAAAAATATATACAATATGTGTGTGTGTATGTCTGTGTGTATGTATGAATGAACACACACACACACATATATATATATATATATATATATATATATATATATATATATATATATATATATATATATGCAGTTTAGGTTTGTGTATCTAAAATATATGCGTTCTTGGATTTCAACATCATAAGATATACAATCTAAAGTAATACCTCTATTTCTCCTGACAATATCCGGACAGTTAACTTCCGGTAAACCTGAGTCAAACATCGACCCCAAAGTGTTGAAACACATATCCCTACTTGAAAAAAAAAAAAGTGTTATTTGAACAATCTGTCAACCTCAGTCCGTTCTTATTTATCAAGAATATATTTAAGCGTTTTCGGAAAAAATGTGATTTTTTCATGTTTTCATCGCAATTCTTCTGTGGACACCGCAGATGTGCAGATGGTATAATGAACAGCGCCTTGGAATGAGACATCGGAGAGCCGAGTTCGAATTCAAGTCTCAAATTCCCTTGGGAAAGGTATAAATCCATTTCCCCCCTAGCTATGGCTTAAATAGTATGACTTGCATCTGGAAAAAAATCATTGTTATTCATTAAAAATAAAAATTGTTATTGCAATATTCATTCTAAAAAAAAGAATCATTCCTACAATCCAAAAGATGTTTCAGGTTTAAATAACCCACACAGGGTTGATAAACCGTAAAAAAGAAAACACTCATTGAAAATAAATAAAATCCATGGGTTGTTTTTATTTTACGACACAAAATTGTAACTCTCTATAACATAGATCTGTTGTTTCGATTGCTAATTAATGTGAATTGTCACCTTCAGTATTTATTGTTTCTGAGTATGAAAATCTGGGCAGATTAATTTGCCTTTCTTCCAGAAACGAAGAAAAACAAAAACAAAAAAGGAAATTTATATTTAACATCAGGAAGAGACAGTTGATGTTTCTAGGGCATATAATGAGGAAAGATGACTTGGAAAATCTAATACACACAGGACATACTGAAGTCAAGAGAGACAGAGTAAAACAATAGTGAGCTTGAGTAAATGGATGGCGGAACAGGGTTTGGGAGAAATAACAAAAAGACAGAATTAGGAGCTACAAAGGGCGGGGAATTGTGGAGAGCCATGATCACCTACACCCTGAAGGGACATGGCCAACTGAGACCACGGCTAGGGAGTCTAGGTTGTGATCGAAAATTCTGATCTTAAGAATGTTTTTCATCACGCTTCCATTTGTTCTAATATGCAATAAATATTATTATCAATATTATTATTATTACTGTAATCTATTTCTTGTTAACAGTTAATATATTTCAGCCTTGAAAATGGCTAAATGTATAGCCGAAAGCGCTCAGAAAAAAGAACAATTGGACAGAGTTTCTATAATTTATCTACCGAAAAAAAAAATTATAAGATTACATGAGAAACTGTATAAAAAACTAAATCAAAGCACCTTGTTTGTCGTATTCGATGAAACGGGCATAAAAGAAGGATTGCTGCCTAAATAAACAAAGACACCACACACACACACACACACACACACACACACACACATATATATATATATATATATATATATTGGCATCTACAGACAGATTGTTTCGCTGTATCACAGCTCATCAGTGTGGCTAGACGTCCGCTTGCTTTTAGCTAGGATTGAAACCCGATTGAATTGGCGTCAATCGGAGATTCTACCCCTAAGCGACATGAATGAATGTGAATTTAAGCGTATTTATTTTTAGATAAACGCAGTGTCTGAGAGAACTCAATTCGCTTTACCGAAGAGTATATATATATATATATATATATATATATAGGGGGGGTGTATTTGGATAACAGATAAAGAGGACCATAGAGTGGAACAGCGTGGGTGCAATGGTTCGGGGCTTCCGGGAGAATCACATTACCGAAAACTATGGGAAGTCTGTTGAGGCTCTAGTGAAGAATTACGGCAAATTGGACAGCATTATGTCCTTCAAAGTCCATATTCTAGACGTTTGTCTTGATAAATTACAGAAGATGGGGGGGGGCGTACAAAGAGGAACAAGTATAGACTGAACTTGGAACACCGCGACCAAGGATCGTATAATGAAAACATGACGGGAGACTATATTTGGAGACTGAGAGTAATTTACAGTATTAAGCGTAAATCGTGAAAAACTATTGACTTCTAATTTTTTTTTTTTTGTCGTCTCTCTTTTGCCATCCTAGAATAAATAAATACTACTTTTGAATCATATGTCGTTTTGTTCTTTGCGTGAACAAGAATGTTCTTATTCACCAGTTTTCCCAATGGGAATTTGGTAAATTTCAGGCATATTATTATTCTAGTCACAAAAGCAAACTTTGAAGGAAATATTAGCCATTTTTTATACTTTTAGGCGGAAACAAATAAGAAATTATATTTGCTAACCAAGGAGAAAGGAAAATCGTGTTACACAGTGTATTATAAATAATAACGGGAAATAAATAACAAATCATAATCTATATATAAAATTCTGTAACCTCCGTTAGTCTGTCCATCACACTCTCTAAAATAACCATACATTGACTGTTTGAAATCAGATTTTGAGGTGAAATGCAAAGGGAGTAATGTGAGTACGACTGGTTTATACTAGCTTAGTACAATAAATTTTCATTAATTTTTTTTTTGAAAAAATTAAAAGCTTTATTTAACATACAAAATACACCCACTATTTTAAAAACAATTTAATGGTTAAAATAGCAAATATTTATTTAATAAAAATGTAATATTGTTTTTTGCTTTATTCACATTGTTCGGACTATTGTCCTCATCTTTGTCGCCATATTTATCACCTATTTATTTGTGATAAATATGGCGACAAAGATGAGGACAAGAGTCCGAATAATGTAAATAGTGTACATAATACCTCATCTCAGAAATATAGACAGATATTGAAAGGCCGAAACGTTGTAATAAATATGGCGACAAAGATGAGGACAATAGTCTGAATAATGTAAATAGTGTACATAATACCTCATCTCAGAAATATAGACAGATATTGAAAGGCCGAAACGTTGTAATAGATATGGCGATAAAGATGAGGACAATAGTCCGAATAATGTAAATAGTGTACATAATACCTCATCTCAGAAATATAGACAGATAATGAAAGGCCGAAACGTTGTAATACATATGGCGACAAAGATGAGGACAATAGTCCGAATAATGTAAATAGTGTACATAATACCTCATCTCAGAAATATAGACAGATATTGAAAGGCCGAAACGTTGTAATAGATATGGTGATAAAGATGAGGACAATAGTTCGAATAATGTAAATAGTGTACATAATACCTCATCTCAGAAATATAGACAGATATTGAAAGGCCGAAACGTTGTAATAGATATGGCGATAAAGATGAGGACAATAGTCCGAATAATGTAAATAGTGTACATAATACCTCATCTCAGAAATATAGACAGATATTAAAAGGCCGAAACGTTGTAATAGATATGGCGATAAAGATGAGGACAATAGTCCGAATAATGTAAATAGTGTACATAATACCTCATCTCAGAAATATAGACAGATATTGAAAGGCCGAAACGTTGTAATAGATATAGCGATAAAGATGAGGACAATAGTCCGAATAATGTAAATAGTGTACATAATACCTCATCTCAGAAATATAGACAGATACTGAAAGGCCGAAACGTTGTAATAGATATGGCGACAAAGATGAGGACAATAGTCCGAATAATGTAAATAGTGTACATAATACCTCATCTCAGAAATATAGACAGACTCTGTTTTTTGCTTATTTTTTTTCTTAGTTTTTATATATACAAGAATCCAGTTTCCCTTTCGCTTTGTATTTGCAAGAACTATAAACAAATCACAAAGCCAAATGCTTCAAAAATTGTTATTTGGTTCCAGACAGAGAGATTTGTGCATGGTTAGTTATATGTTGCATGCCCGAGAGTAAGAAATCCTATGAATTTATTCTTCGCTGTTAAAAAGGAAAAAAAGTTCTTTGCCATGAATTTCTATAAAATTGAATTAAATTAAAGAGATTATTAAACTCCGTAAGGTTTTTGTCAAAGTATTTTCCCAAACAAATCAGCTTATTTAAATTTCATCGATTGGTATGCGAAATTGAACGAAACGTAGAGTTTGTAAATGGTAGCGATAAGTTCGACAATATTAATTATTGTGAGGACTTCAGCACACGTCAGAGTGTAGCAAAACAATTCTAGTAATCAATAAAGGATAATTCGACTCACCATTTGACAGGCCAAATAAAGATACAACCTGCAATACAGAAAAGGAAACAGAAATTAAATAAACAATGTTAGGGAGTACAAAAAATATAAGATTATACATAGAATTCACATAAAGATTTAATAATTTTCAACAAATGAAAAAAAGTGTTGATGTTTATTTCTGTATCCATTACGTTACTCGCACATCCAAGTTTACAGGACCTAGTATTCTCAAGCAGTCACTGACCACGCTCGACGTTGCTTAACTTCGGTGATATGATGTTTTAGCGTGATATGGACGTAAACCTAAAGAAACTGATTAACTGACAAGACTGTTCCTCACAATATATTGGAGAAACATGCAGAAATTTAAAAAACGCATCTCCAATATAGTGGGATGAACAGTTTTGGCAATTTATTTTATATATGCCTGCTTCAAGAATATTATTGCTCTATTATTTTTTCCAAATATTACCTTCCCGAATAGAATCCTCTTCCAAGACAACAAGAAAAGAACTCAAAAGAAAAAGATTAAATCCGTTAATACAACAATACAATCTTTCTACATGTGAAAATATTCTCTTCAAACATAAAGTAACTGATGTAAGTTTTTAGTTGACCATCTGAATATACAATAGCGTTTCTAAATTCATCTAGTTGCTAACGACATTTTGTTTGTTGTTTATAGATATTTTGTTTCAATAAATTTATTTCGTTTCTTGCCCCTTGAAAAAGTTCATATTGGACGAAACGCGTCGGCTAAAAGTAGTTTTCCTACTGCCTCTTTTCCTTAATATATATATATATATATATATATATATATATATATATATATATGCAAAAATGTAATGAGAACGAAAAGAATATGAATTCAAACGTTCATAGCATTAATTTAAAGAGGACTCAATTCCAAAAGTAGAGCAATAGTTATTTATTATAAAAATGTTACATACGGACAAGCAAGTACTCACGACAAAGATGCATTTTTGTTTCGGTGTGAATGCATCTCGACTGGTGAGGAACAAAGATGGTTATTAGCGATCGAAACAAAAATGAATCTTTGCCGTGAGTACTTGTTTGTCTGTATGTAAAATCTTTATAATACACACACACACACACACACACACACACACACACACACACACACACACACACACACACACACACACACACACAAAAAAAAAAAACACACACACACAGATATATATATATATATATATACATATATATATATATATTAAGTAGTAAGAAATCAATTTACTGTCATTATAACCAACTGGTATCCAATTTATGGCATTTAACCCTGCGTAGGGAGGTACGTCAGCTAATATTTCAACATTACGTGCCACTTTAAAGCTTCCACAACTAAAATCCTTACAACGCAAACCTTAATTACCTTGAAATAGGAATCTAGATCTCTGCTTGGGGTATCTCCATCCTTATCTTTACTAATTTGTAAACTAAATGTCGGTTTTCTGCCCAAAACGAAATACTAATTCGATTCCGGCCAAGAGGTACACCTTTTTCTTTAATAAGACTTTTAATTTTGGCCTAGATATTAATTTGACTCTTTATGAACGAATAAAAATGTCTACATATAATCATACTTATTATAAAACCCAGGTTGTGTGTGTGTCTGTACGTTTATATATTGGATCGGATTTGCTACATTTTTCAACCGATTTCAACAAAACTTCACAGGACTACGTAAAATTACCTTGTGGTCGTTCTGACAGCGCCAAAAATTGGAAAAACACAATTATTTTTGCACAAAACCAGTTTGAAAACACGATTAAGAGGCATTAATGCAAGGGGGACAACTCATATCGAGTGATACTTATTATAAAACCCAGGTTGGTTATGTGTGTGTGTGTGTGTGTGTGTGTGTGTGTGTTCGTTTATATATGGGATCGGATTTCCTACAGTTTTCAACCGATTTCAACAAAACTTCACTTTTTTTTGGCAGGTAGTGTGTCTTATTGTCTTGCACACTTTTTTCTTTATTTTTACATTCAGAATGCTTTAAAAATTCTATTTACAAGACAATTGTTTATAATAAAATTCTATTCAATCGGTAGACTCATAACGATTGAAAACAATGTTTCTGTTTCATTTTGGGTTTGACCAATTCGCTAAAAAAACAAAAAAATAAAACTAATTAAAACATGCGTGTCCGTCAACCTTAAACAATAATCTTTGTCAATTTTATTTTTCAGTCTTTATGATGGTGGATACTTGATCTATCTCTTACTGTTACATCCCCGGGCAACGCCGGGCTCTACTGCTAGTAAGAACTATTGTTGAGTAAAAAATCTATTAACTCTTTAAAACTGTCTTTATTTACATTTCAGTTACAAAAATAAAATGGCAGACCTCGTTTCAAAAGGTAGCATCAAGAGAAAAGCACTTGTTAAATTGAGACTTGTTTTGCTGCGTTAGCTTCTCGTAGCCAAAAGGTATGGGACATAAAGCAACAACAACAAAAAATGAAATAAAATTACCAACGAGAGATATGCATTTGTTAAATTTCGACTTGCTTTGCTCTGTTAGCTTCTTGTGGCCAAATGGTACGGGGCATAAAAAAATAAATAAATCTAGCAAATCCCGCATTCAAACGTTATCAACGGGATATACTGGACTCTCCCGATTTATTCGACGTATTAAGGTCAAGCAGCCCAGTCCCTAGAAACCGACAACCAGACCACATACAAAAATCATTTGATTATAGTGGCGAAGGCTTTGTGCAGAACCAACCACACATTTTGAAGAGCCTAATACAGAGACCTGGGGCATCGTGTGCCACAAGGTTCGCAAACGATCCTCCGCAGGTTTTGAATTAGGAGTTATCCTTCTCCTAGACTAGTTGCCATCCAAGGCTATAGAAACCATTCTGTCTTGCTACGTACCCATAGCTGGGGGGATATGAAAAGGATTCATACCTTTTCCAAGGGTATTAGCACGTAAGTGAATGCAGTGGAATTCGACGATATATAGTATATATATATATATATATATATATATATATATATATATATATATATATATATATATATAAAGAAATATAGTCTTAAGGTGTGCTGTATTTATGGAATAAAGTGTTCAATATCAGAGATAGAGCGTGTGTAAATATAAAAAGTGAACATAGACGCAAACATCAGGCCAGTCTGTTTCATATAGCATGAAATCAGACTGTCGCATGAAAGTGTTGACTTCTATGTTCAATTTTATATATATATATATATATATATATATATATATATATATAGTGAAGTTCACCTGGTACGAAGCCCGAGAACCACTCGAGGTAGAGAGTTACAGACTAAGAGCACAGTTTATGCAGATAGGTGGAGAAGATAACAGTTAAGCCGAAACTTAATAACACATGGCTCAATAATATATATATATATATATATATATATATATATATATATATATATTAGTGCATTTGTGTCTATTCACCCCCACAGACCCCACATGTGGTTTATACTGCATCTATGCTGAGCAGACCTTAGTTATAGTTTGAGAAAGAGCGTGTTATCTAACGGGATCAACAATTTGAACAAGGCCAGCGCTCTTAAGCCCACGTTACCGTGTGTCACAAGGTTCCCAAAAGACTCTCAGCAGGTTTTTGAAATAAGAGTTATCCTTCTCCTAGACCAGTTGCCATCCAATGCTATAGAACCCAGTCTGTCTAGCTGGCGGTAGAAGAAGAGAATTCATACCTTTCCCAAGGGTTTTAGCACGTAAGTGTATGTAATGGATTCGATTGGAATTCAAACTCCAAGATATATGCATTTGTTAAATCGAATCTTGGTTTGCCTTATTTTCTTCTCGGGACCAAATGATACTGGACAGTAAAATAAAGAATAAATTTAGCAAATCCTGTATTCAAAATTTACTAATAAGATATATGCATTTGTTAAATTTAGACTTCCTCTGCCCTGTTAGGTTTTCGTGCACATGAATTATATTATTTATAAAAATAAATTATAAAATAAATTTAGCAGATACCACTTCAAAAGTTACCAATGAGAGATATGCACTTGTTAAATTTAGACTTGCTATGCTCTGATAGCTTCTCGTGGACAAATAGTAGGGGACATTTCGTTTAAAAGTGGTTTCGTTGATTTAAAAACGGAAATAAGTTTCGATTACTGTCAGGAGGGCCGCGTTTTCATTAGGACTCTCCATATCTAGACACCAATTCCACTGCTTAGAAAAAAAGAAGGGGGTGTCTAATCAAAGACGTGTACACAGTAATAACATTTATAAAAGAAATATATGCGCGTGTGTACGTGTGTGTGTGTGTGTGTGTGTGTGTGTGTGTGTGTGTGTGTGTGTGTGTGAGAGAGAGAGAGAGAGAGAGAGAGAGGGTAGAGAGAGAGGGAAAGAGGTTGGTAAAGCGAGAGATTCCCGGAGCTTGCTTTTGTAGTAATCGATGCGGATAATTTTTGTTTACCTTCGTATCGTCTGCTACCCTATTCGATCATATCGGAATCGTTTATTCTCTCCCCCACCCCACAAAAGTCGCGTGCGTGCCCTAAACCATCAGCTTTCTAAAATGAATGCCTTTCCAATGTGAGCTTTACTTTCACACAGTTTTTTTTTGTTTTTTTACATGCTTCTGACATGAACGAAACAGAACAGATGGTGGGGCGCCATTTTCTATAGAAGTTCCCACTCACAGATGCGTACACCGAAAAAAAAAAGATGGGTGAGGTAGTGAGGTGTTATAATGGGGATATTAAGAATTGGCTGATTCTTTAAGGAGCTAGCAAATTGCCCGAGGAATTTGAATCGATTCAATACTCGGCATTTCCCGTGTCTCGCTGGCCATTTCATACTTCTTTCGAAAATCACTTCAACAGAAAACAGAAACTTAATTTCTATTAATTTTTCTGTCTTTGAGGAAGCTGTTTCGTGCCATAATTTTCCCAGACTTTTAAGTAAAACCTCGTATATACACAATATTTTCTTTCTTTCCTTCGATATAATAGTGGACATTGAAGTCAACACCAAGTAAGTTAATATATATATATATATATATATATATATATATATATATATATATATATATATATATATATAACTATCTATCTATCAATCTATCTCCTTCTGTTT